CATCTCAGTGACAGTGTGAACCTTTACCATCCCTCTGTTACCCCACTGTCCCTCGCCATCCGGTTGAGTTCTAGTTCTTTCCCAGTACTGTATGTCCGGCTTTGTGCACGAGTGGCTACAAGTCACATCGCACGTAAGACTGTCCGCCAACAGATTTTAAACCCAGTCTAACCCTTACCAAACGTAACCTAACCCAAACCAACCGAACCTAACACAGCCTAACCTAAGCGAATACATTCTAACCAAATTAGATTTGTCGAACCGTCTTATGTACGTATCAATGCCCCGGTGACGCCTAGCCTCAACCTGACATCATGTGAAGATTAACCTTGACTGGAGCTCACTCCAATACCTAAAAAATGTCCAGCATCACGGTAGTCGTGCACGTAAAAAAGATGGAGCATGACAGGAGTCGTGCAGGTAATACGTATGTATACACACAAAAGCCTATGCCCATCACATTACAGACAGCTTGTGAGCCCAAGACTGTATATGTAATGTAGTATTGCCTTGTAAAATTTATGTATATATGGTTTATATTGTATTTTAGAAAATAAAGATAAAAAAAACAAGACAGTAAAAGTTAATAATGGGAGCCTCACATTCCCTGTATCTCTCATCACTTCTCCACAAACACTTTCTAACCCATTCCTCGACTAATGGAAATCTCAACTACACTCAGTGGCTAAATGAGTTTTATTTCTCGCTATTTTGTTTAAATTATATAGTGTGCGTGCATTTATATTACACTTAATACTTAGCACCAAGAATATTAGTACCATTACCCCAAAGAAGGCTAGAAATAACCCAAGCTGTCTTTTGGGGGATTATTATTATCTCAATAAAGTTACTTGATCAATTAACCCACGCCCCATGCACGGGCACTAATGGTAAAATAGTCAATAATTAGTAATGCGGAGTTGCAGAATCTGTGATGAGTGACGGACACCGCCTTCACCATTATTTACGAGAATGTGAACATCTGAGTCATTACAAATGTGTTGAATAATAAACCCCCACATTGTTTGAGTTAGGAAAAATACTATTTGTCAAATATAGATACTGTTCTTAAAAGATTCTCCCATTTTGCACCCGCAAGATAACGTAACATTTTTATGGGTTAACAAATGTTAATCTTCTTGTCTAATAAACTGTTCACTTGAGACAGTTAATAAGCAAGTCCTAGCTATATCTGAGTACAAGTGACAGGATGAACAACCCAGGGGGGTTTCTTCCTATTGGGGGGGTGTTGTACATGCTGCTATGGCGGTATGACTACACATATGATGAGAGGCGCTGCCCAATAAACTCACCCCTCGGGGTAAAATTACAAAAATTAAAATTAAAACACTTTAGGCCCCATAACCAGAGAGCACGAGGCGTTTCATAATAAGAGCACAATAGCAGCGCAACATGACAACAAAGACAACATTAATAATAGTTCACTCGTTCTTTTCAGCATCACTTTGGGAGTTAGCCATGAGGGTAACTCTTGGCTAACCATGAGCCCCTGGCCTGTCCTCCTGATGTTTCAAAACGTCAAGAAAACGGTTAATTTAAAGTGTTCTATCCTAACCTAACAGACTAAGCCAGAGGACCCAAAACAGAAAACGGGACAGTACGTCACTTTTACGGGCCGCTTCCATTTTCTAGTACAACAATTTTTGGCCTTAGTAACGCATAAGAGCTAAAAGCGACGTTCTTTGTAAGAGGACAGGGTGTTTCCCCGCCAACACGCCATTACTAGCGGCGCCACCAGGACACTTTCACGCTGTCATCGCACGTCGACTAAAGCTGCTTTTTCTGGGAAATATAATAACATCACTACTCCTAATACTCGCAGTCTGGCTGTTTATTTACACAGAACAAATATCACTTGAAGCGTGACAGTGTTAGACCTGCTGACGTCACCTCCCGCCATTAGGCTGTACACAGTACTTCGCTCGGCAACTTCATTC